TTGTATTTTACATGAAAGTTAAATTTGTCTCACTGGATTTCACTTTTTTGTAATTACAGGGTTCCTTCACTCCTTGAATTCCTTGAATTTAATTTTTTGTTTTCAAAAACTTGAAAACCCTTGAATTTAAACTCGGGTCCTTGAAAATTCTGAAAAGTCCTTGAAAATAAGTAGTGTAGATAAATCAAAGTCAAAGTTTTCTTGTTTTTGTTGTTGAAAGTGTGAGTTTCTGGCACAAATTGCAAAAATTAGTTTTACTTTCAAATCCCACATCTGATTATGATGTTTAATATGTGATTTCATATATTTTGTCCCTGATTGGTGCATTGAAAATAATCTTGGTGACATAGCTCGTGATCACTCTGATGTGGATGCTTGAAGTCACGCTCGTTGGACTTTTCGGCTGGTCCTACATGCCCGTCCATGTAATTAAAATGTAATATTTAATAAAGAGCAATGTTTTTATTTCTATATAGCTCCTATTTAATGCAAACAGTCCTTGAATTTGAGAACCGAGGTCCTTGAAAATCCTTGAATTGGGTTCCTGAAAAAGTGCAAGAACCCTGTAATTAATACATAAGTTTATTTTCAAATCTGTCAAAAGGGTCAGGAACTTTTCACAATTTACAGGAAAAGGAAACATTATCACTTCTCTTTAATCTTGCCCTGTTGCTACCATAGCATTCCTTTCTAAGTTTTGCAAGTTAAACAAAGTTGAACCATCAAAATCATGCAAATTAATCTAAGGATGAATTTCTCACTCCCACTAGGTAACATCAATGCATCCTTGATGACATTAAGAACTTGTATGGAGGTTCTGAGAGAGAACCAAGCAAATGCTGAGAATGGTGTTTCTCCAAAGGTAGCTTGCTTCTATAAGATTGATGATAAATGAGTTGCATTTAGAGGGTGATTTTTGTTCTGATTGTCTGTTAAACTTTTGGTTTCTTCAGATTGTTCCCTATAGAGACACAAAGCTGACTCATCTGTTTAAGAATTTCTTTGATGGAGAAGGAAAGGTAGAAGAATTTACACCCACTCTTAACCACACTTACTGCCTCGATCTCACAAATAAGAAGTTTGTCCTCAGGAGAAAACAATATTCCTTTGCCATTTTGCAGTTTTCACCCTAATTTTCCTGGCAATTGATTTGCTGTGGGAGATGGTGACTTTTTTAGCACTTTATCTGCTATCAAAACCAACCTTTTTAGTGGCACAATTTCAAAATGGAGGAGTTTTATAAAAACTTATCTTCCACATATTCATTATGTTAAACCATTCTTGAAGACCATTTTTTATAATTATATATTTGTGAATATTGATCTCCAAGCTGCTATCTTACTGGTCGGCATGACGACATTTGCTTCTCCCTAGGTGCGAATGGTGGTCTGTTTAAACCCCAATGCTGATGATTATGATGAGAGTGTGGTAAGAAACCAAAAAATAAAATTTTTTAGACTTTGTACAGTTACAGTTTTGTTTTTGCTCTTCTAGACAGAATGTATGAACTTATCCCTTTTAATGGAGTGTCTTTTGTATCACTTCAGCATGTCATGAAATTTGCAGAAGTTACACAAGATGTTGTTATAGCCAGACCAGAGTCAGTCAGGTAAAATTGCCTTTGGTCCCTCTTCAAATACTGTGCTTCTCAAGTGACAAAGCTGTTTTGAAAAAAAAAATTGACTTTTGATGCAAGAAATTTCTCAAATATCAAACGTTCCCATAGATTAAAACAGAAATAGTTAGAGTGATTGATCAAAGATGTAATTTTGATTTTCACTCTGTCTTGTAAGAGTAAATTTGTAGGCGAAACTATTCTGAATCAACCTTCACATCTTTTTCAATCTTTACCCAATTCTTGAGTTTGGTTTGGCAAGAGACAGAGTGGCTCAGAATTAAACTGAACCCTGAAAGTTATATCCACAGGCTGCCCTTGTTTGTCTGTTTTCACTTTCATTAGTTACAGCAATAACTTGTGTTGCATTGTTTTACTGTTTAGATTTGAGACAGGACTGACTCCAGGAAGAAGAAGAGGTATTTTCAGTCAACAATTGTACCCAATACATGTATTATTGATCCTGATCAATTGCCACTCAATGTCCTTTTTTTTTTCAATTTTGACAGATTTTGTATCAGGTGTGTTAACGTGCTGATTTTTCTTGTAGCAAATCAAATGTACAAGGAAGTTCTAGCAAAGGTTGAGGAAAATAATGGTATGTACAGTACAAGTACCTGAAGATGTTGTCCAATTTCAAACCTATGTTTTTTTTTAAATTGAGAAATAAAGGAAGTGGTCACTGATAGGAGACAAAGTTGACATCCACTTAACTGTATATTTATATAGCTTTTCATCAAACAATAATGTAAAGTCATCTGTGGACTAGTATTTTAAAATTTACAGGTAATGGTGAAACTGTGATTGTAGCCAAGCCAGTTCATACCATGGGACCGCCTTTCCCTCTTTTTGAGGTAAGCTGTACTGTTTTGGACCATTTTCATTTGCAGGTATTGTGAGTAGTGAAGTGAATTTATTCAGAAGCTACATGTACAATGATGAAGATGTGATTTTCCATTTGTTTTATTTTGTTGCTATTGCTGTTGTTGTAAGTTGTTGTTGTTGTTTTTTTTTTTTCAGTTGAATTCTCCAGAAGATAGTGCAACACTGATAAATTTGATGCACTACCTTCAAGATAGACAAAGACGGCGACAAACCCTTATTGATGAAATGTCTAGAAAAGGTATTGTTCATAGAATTTGTGGCAGTTTGATGATTCTGTCATATGATGCAAATGTTGACTCAAACACTGGAAGTTGATATATTTGTATTTGAATTAGCCATCTCGATTCTACGGGTTTTGGCTTTTGGGCCTTTTCATAACTTTGAAGCTAGTGTTCCAATTCTAATGAACAATTTCCAGTATGTTGGTAGCATGAAATTTGAAAGGAGCAGCAAAAATAGAGGGATTGTAAAGAAGGAAGAAAGCGTTTTCCTCCAAAAATATTGCCTTCATCCTTTTTTTTATCTGAATAGATATTGACAAATATTTTGTGACAGTGTTGTAATGACAATTTTATTAGCCAAAATTTGCTGACAGTTCATACCAGTGAAGCTCTCCCCTTCCTGAAGTGTGAAGGAGTTTAAGTCATGAACTGCTAAAAACCTTTTGTTTTTTCAGTGTTTCCCACTTTAATCTGTGAGGAAAACACCATCGCAAATTAAAAGGAAAAAATTAAAGAAATGAGGAAAAATTTGTTATGGTGCACTAATGTTCCGGGACTTTACTAATACCATTATTTCTTGTCACAGAGGGGATTTTCAGGGCTCATCTCTTGGCATTTGAAAAAGAAAACAGTCAATCAAATGGAGTAAGTTAGAACAGCCAGTTGCTCTCAGAGTCATTTTTACTGTTTCAATTTTTTTGTCTCAAATATCAAATAACTCTAATTACAATATTTTTCTGTGAATTTTTCAGATTGTAGCAAGCCTGAAAGCAACAATTGAGGAGAAAGACAGGTACTATTTACCATCTTCTTTTCAAACTATTCCTTTTTCTTTGTAATGGTGTTGATCATGTCCTTAAAGTGCATTTGATGATACGAATGAAATGTTGAGAATAACATGGTGATTCTCTTTCCAGAGAGATTCAGAAACTTGAAAGAAGACTCAAGGCTTTAACGCAAAAGGTACGGTTGTTGTTCTTCTCCTTCTGATACTACTTATCATCATTGTTATTATTGTTATTATTATTTTTTATTGTTATTTCTATTGGTGTTGTTGGTTTTTTGGCGGTTTTCATTCGTATGTTTGTTGTGATCATGTGACGGGTGATGCTCAGTAGTGTCATTGGAGGTAGCAAGCGATGACGATCTGTCTGAATGATTATTCTCTCGTTAAGAACGAAATGCTTCACAAGACGGCAGAGATGTACGAACAAGACAAGAAAGAACTACGATATGAGGTACGTCATTTTATATTTCACATTGCGAAAACTACATGACTAACTTCAAAACTGGCTCTTTCCATTGTCCTATCAATGGGTGGGGACGACGTAAACACTGAGGACTGTCGACATGGTCCGTGCTACTCCTTCAACTCCTTGAAAACTACTTGAATATATTTTGCAAATTTAAGGGCGCTTGAAAACTCCTTTAAAATAAGAAATTTAAAAAAAAATCCCTAAAAACTCCTTGAATTTTTTTTTTACTTAAATACGCATTGAATGTGAGAAAATATATTGGAAATAATAAAAGAGAAAAAATCTAGAAAGTTATCTGGTTCAAGAGCGCCTTGAGACAAAAATTTGCCGCCACTATTGCAAACAAACGCTTTTATCATAGCAAAAATGACTCCTTGAAAGTCAAATTTAAGTCCTTAAATACTCCTTAAAAAGTCCTTAAATTTGACCCTGAAATTCCTGCACGAACCCTGTGTCAAAACTGGTTCTAGTCAATTTCTGTCTTTTGAGCCTGTCAGCTTTAAGGCTCCTCGGCGCACGAATTATCAGCATAATTTGTGGGAATTTGAGTGCCAATCCCAGGGGTTTCAAGAGATGTTCGCTACCGGTGGTGTACAACCCCGCGGTCTGTTTCGCGTACGAGCAGGCTCTCGTGTTTGGGTTTCGCTTCACTGAAACCCTTTCTCATCATTAAAGACATAAGAGCAAAATCTTTCCCAATACGTTTTGAAGGTGCGCGAGAAAGTACAACTCGTACCCGTCAACTTGCGTAGGGGTAAAGTTTCTGCGCCCCACTTACACTGGCCAGTATCGGTTTTTCCGGTTGAGGCAAACCAGGAAAAACGGAAGGCACTCCAAAATATACGATCAGATTCTGACTCCTCTTTAAAAGCCTATAATTTATGAGGTTAAAGATTAAGAAATCCTAAGTGGAAAGCTAACGCATTAGTTTGAAATACGGGAGAAAATTTCGACACGTTTTGGTGTTGCGAGAATTGCTTCGGCTAGTCGAAAAAATAAGACCGGGAAAAGTAAAGGGGGGACTTCACATACCGGAGACGCTGGCATAAGTTCGTCAGTGAACATCTAACGACAGTTCTGTTGGTGTGTGTTGAGGATATTTGAACTTCTTTCTTAGCTGGATGATCAGAAGAAAAGAGCCGACAAAGAGAAAACCGATAAACTCAAAATGCGCCAGGTAAGAACTGTCAGGCCACAAGTTACCTCTGACTCTTTCAACTGGAAATATTAGAGCTACAGGTATAGAATTATTCGTTTGGAAGACTCGCCGAGTGATGGATGGAAAATGCTATGCAAGAATTACTTCTTCCCAGTTAGTCTTCGATTGCAATTTCACGACATGTTGAGGATACAGGCAACAATTCTCGTATCGCCCTTTCGATAATTGTTTCCACCCAGCAACGAATTTTGCTCTACTTTGTTGCAAGCAGTAGTAGAATTGTGGCAGGAAAAATGCTGTCGTTACTGTAGTATGAATTGCATAACATGTATGGCAATAAATATGTAAAAATCTTTTTTTGCCTCTCTTTCCTTTGGTTTTGCTTTCTTAGGCTTTGAAAGGAGTAGTGTCGCAAGAAAAGGGAAAGTGGGAACGAGAGTGTGTAAGTCAAATTTCTCGGTGCTTCAGTTTAAATTTTGTTCAGTTCATGTTTATTTTGGTTTGTCTGCTAGGCAGCCTAGTCATCGAACCATGCGAGAAGACAAACGGGATTCAACACAAGTGATAGTTAATCGAACTTGACTTGTGCCATAAGAAAATGAGTAATGGGTATATTATTGAGGTTACGTTTCATTCGTTCATGTGTTTCTGATTAGTTTCACCTCTGGCTCTCTTAGTCGAAACGCGTCAAGGACAAGGAAATAGAGATGCAAGCCAAAATGTGGCAGAAAGATGAAAAACTAAGACAACTGAAGGAGATTGTGCAGGTACATTTCTCTCTAAAACCTGTCTGTGCTTCTCTATGTTCGTTATCTCGCCATGATCGCATTAATGCTTCATTAGCCATACTGGTCCCTAGCAATTTTATCCACGATAGCCAATCCTTTCCTGGATTTTCAACTTTTTTCCGCGATGTTCACTTCATTTTCTTGTTCCTCATCGGTGGAGGAACTCCTCATGCACCAGCCCTCTAAATTGTTGAAAATGTTCAGTTTTGTGCTCCCTTCATACTCTACTCATATTAATGTCCTTAAGTAGTTCGATTGCAGTTCCTGGGCATTTATTTCCTCTGTTAGTTTTCTATTACATATTTGTTGTCGCCAGTGAAAGGAATACCCGGTGACAGTGAAGTGTCTTTCCCAAAAATACCGTTCAAAGTTGAATGAAAAAGAAACTTAGGTAGAAAAAGTTTTTTAAAGAGAGCGTTAAGCGTAAATCTCTTTTTTTTTTCTTTTCTCTCCTCAGAATATGAAGACGAATGACTCGGGTCCTGTCACTCGTGCCCAACTTAAAGCCGCGTCCATGCCTAGATCCAAGTCTCCCCCGCCCGTGTCCAGAAAGGTAACTCCATAGAAGTTGACAAAAGTACATCCTTGTTTGCGCCGTTTGTATCATTATCCTTTTTTTGTTAAAAATGTATCATCTCCATGTTTCAGCCTCCGATTAAATCTCGTCACAGACGATCCAAGTCTTCAGATTGTTGGATAGAGCACAAGCCCTCGACTCACTTAGAAACAGGTACTAGCAGCATGCGTCAATGTGAAGATGTATTGTAATGGTTTGTAAAAAAAGTCTGTCTATACCAGAATGTGTTATAACCTAATGAAAGTAGTACGCATCGTCTGTTTGGTCAATTTAGTTTTCAAGCGGATGCTCTATCAGGTTAAAGAACCCGTATGGTAGCTAGTTGTGTCCCAGAAGCAATACAACGCAATTTTTCCCAGGTCTATAACGTGATAAAGCCACGTCAGAGGTTGGAAAAACACGAGGAAAGTTTACAAACACGAGCCGAAGGCGAGTGACTTGTAGGCTTTCCGAGTATTCTCCAATCATCCCAAGTATTGCGTTATAGAGCCCAGAAAGTATGTTCTATTGCTTAATTAGATTAAACGGGAAAACAAGCCTGTAACAGTCTGTGTACTCTGTTTGGATTTTCCAAAAATATGCTCAGTATGCCTACAGAACAATGCATGTCACTGTTTTAGACATACTTCCGGTGTTTGCTAACAAAATGTCTTGCACGTGACAGGTACAGTAATGAAACCATTGATAAAGAACAAGAAAACTGTTGCCAGGCCTGGTGAGAAGGACTTCAAAGGCACTAATGTAAGTACGGTATCCTTGGTTCCTCTTCATTCACAAGACATATACAACCGCATCTTTGAAAAAGCAACAGGTACATGTACACGGGGCAATTTTTCTTTTATCCCGATTTTCTTTAGAAAGCCTTTTTCTGGAGCCTTTCCCACTCTGTTTTCTGATTGTATTAGGCTTCAGGATGAAACGGGCTATTGTGACGTGAATATCATAAAGGGCTTTCCCTTCAAATGTTAAATTGCTATCTACTCTTGAAATTTTCTTTGCTCTTCTTGCTTTGAATCGCTGTATGACAAGGCATCCGGATGTGTTTTTTTTGTTTGTGTAGGCCACAAACTATGTTTTAGCCCACCAAGAGGAAGACTCTGCGGGTGAAATTGAGACTAAGTTGATCAAAGTGAGTCATAAAATTTTCAAGAGAAGAATTCATTTAAACCACTTGTTCAGTTTTTCTAATGATTTAATGTTTTACAACTTAAATTCCTTGGAATAGATCAAGCTTCTTTTTTTTTTTATTTTTTTTTATTTATACAAAGGAACGTCACTTACATATACCTTAATAATCAGACCTTTTTTACTATGTACTCATCTCGATCTTCGCTGTTGTTCCAATTTATGCTCAAGAAATCGGGCCAAATTGCCATTAACGATCCGGAGGATTGGTACAACCACCATTCTTGGGAAAGAACTGATTTTGTGCTCAGCTTTGTTTCATACAATTGTCTTAGTTTTCCGAGTCGTCTTGGAAATCAGGGCGATCGGAAGGATATGGGTGATCAAATGCAAACCAAACGTTAATACTGAGTAGAACGCTTCTCGATTGAGTGTCGTAACATCAAGCTAAAATGATCACCGCTGCGGTCAGAACAAGAGTTTAAGTCACAAGAAGCTAATCAGAACTCAAACTAAACTAGTATAATCGCCCAAAGCACAGAAAAAATACTAGTACAGTCTCTATTGGTCAAGTTTGCATACATGTATTAGTAACTGAGATTTTTGCAATGTTGATATTTATTTCCAACAATAAATTGCATGCAAAGTATGATGATCTCCTTACTCGAGTGTAACTTAATTGCAGGGAGACGTGTACCAGACTGTGGGTGGAGGTCACAGTATTCAGTTTACAGAAGTGGAAACATTGAAAACAAGATCTGATGAACTCACCAGTCCAGGAAGGTAGGTGCTGTGTTTTGTCGGTGAAGAGGAGGTTTCTGTCGCAAATGTTCCAAATCAAGGAAGCGTAAAATTGAAGAAAGCAGATGGATTAGGAGTGGCCGAAAAGAATTGAGGGATTACTTTGCCGTTTGAAATCCTGCCAGACTCTCACAGTGATTACCTGTGAACGACTCAGTAGGGAATCTTGACATCGAAATTTTTGAGAGTGACTAACGAAGGATGTGGAGGAGTAATTATACTCTTGGTCGCTAGTACTGCAGACATTTTAATTGACTCAGTCGTGTGCACTTTTTATTCCTCCTCATGTCCCACCCTGAGTCTGAAGTACTTTATGACGTAAAAAATTACAGCTGATTGGATGCATGTTTCTCTCTTCAACGTCCTGTTTACTTTACATTTATTAAGCGGTCACTCCGCCATTCCAGGTTTGATTGTATAAAAAATTTTTTTTTCTGTAAACAGGAAACGAAGAGCGTCTGACTCGATCGATGATGAAAGTACCTCCAGCTGGACTGATGTGGAAACAAGGGTAGGAAGTCAAAGGATGCGTCTTCATTTCTCTTTCGTGTTATTGTCATTTTTGTTACTAGGATACTTACATACTTTGTTTTTTTTTTAATTTTATTTTAGTGTTCAACGGCAATCGAAGGCAGGCCTGGGATGGGACCCAGTTATTGTCACACTGCAGCTAAGTACGTCCAAAAATAAAGCATTGTCGTGAACAGGAAGAGAACACGTAAACTTGTCTCCCTCTCTTTACCCATTGTTGTATAAACCAAAACAGTCCAGTTTTATGTTGGGCGTACCGAAGAGCAGTGGCTTTTATTGAGAGTTTGGTGCGATCCTTTCACGAGAATCAGTGCTTTTTGCACTTCGCCCCTTGCGAAGATAAAGGAAATAAATAGACAAACCAAACCGAATAAATCAATCGAGGAAAGAGCCGACGTTTTCGCCCTCGGGAAATGTGCCATCCTCACGTTGACATTTTCGTGGTTAGCCTAAGTTGGAAAAATAAGCAAAATTTCCTTAGGCTTGGAAAAGTCATTTCGTTTTTATTTTGAGGTAGATAAAATTAAGATGACCATCCCTTGTTTGTTTTTCTGTGGCCGTGATATTTGTTTGTATTCTCATAATTTGTGATACAATGTCGGAGAATAGGAAGCACGCCGAAAAACATTCAGGGAATGTTGATAACTTTGTAGATGGCAAGCGTGTTTTTTCCATTAAACTCAAGCCTGTTTTATGATAGGGAAACATAGAGATTAACACCAGTATAGTTCATTCGGCGAAACCGCCAACCCGATAAATGTTGGTTGTAGTATAGTACGAGAGAGACTCGAGTATTGAACTTACTTGTTCATTGTTTGATTCCACAGGAAAAAGAAGCCTTAGAGATATCACTTCTGACATGTGGTGGGTGGTTTCTAATACAAATAGCGTCCGTCCTCGGCTGTGGCAGAATCTAACCTCGAGACTGACGAGAAACTCAGATTACCTTGCTAGTTAATTTCGATCATCAAACTATGATGGGGAAACTGATTTGCCCATAGCTTAAAGAAATAGTTTTAACTAATGAATTCCCGTGTAAATGAACCCTTCTTTGGGGAGAAAGTTAAGAATATGAAATAAGGCAAGTTGTGACAGTTATATTAACGGCGCTATCATTCTGTTGCTTTGTGAACATAGTTGACTCTTATCAATTATTGATGGTTCAGTTTTTAATCCTTTGTTTCCATTTTAGTATGTTTTTTTCATTTCATCCTCTGATAAGTAGTCACTGTAAAAAGCTGTAGGTAATAGCTAATAAATATTACAGTAGTACTGAAGTTTGTGGATTTTTGTTTTTACTTCCGTTTTGATCAAAAGTTCCGTGCTGAACTACAAGTGGAAAAACTCACTCTGAATAATAAATAGTGAAATCGCGACTGTCAAAGGGCTTTCCGCATCGTTACGTCAGATTCTCAAAGTTCGCTAGAGCCTCAATCACACAAAATCATTTCATCTCTTCGAGCTTCACGCGTTTTTCGTATGGGCATTCTTTTCATCTCTGCTGCTTTTGGATGTTCCTTTATCATAAAACTACTAACGTCCTTCAAAGCCAGGCTTGCTAGTCTTGTGTAAACGTGAAAAAGTACTAGATCTGAGTCGAAATTTTATTGTGAGTTGTGTTCGAGAAACGACCCCACAGTTAGAACTAGATGCTTGGTTGCTACTTATAATAATGATCTTGACCAAAATTATGAACATAGTTGGTGCCGTGCAAGGCTACATACGCTCCCCGAATGATATTTTGGCCATCTTATTACATTGAACATGCCTCATTGTGTAAAATTTGAAGGTCCTGTTACGACATAATCGTAATTATAAACGTAAACATAAAATGCTCGATTACCTTCCCACGATTATAATTGTTTAAGTGGTAATGAGCGACCTAGCGACCCCTGAGGTCATGACCATGACCATTACGTCATCAGTGGGAACATGGATACATCTCTGCGCTTTTACATGTGTAAATTTTGTATCTGTTTCCAATCTTTAACACGTAGGCTCCATTTTAGACCCTAGTGTCCGAATTAAGACAGCAGTTTCCGATTTTAGACTCTAAAGTCCAATTCAAACACTTTGGTGTCCGATTTTAGACTAAAGTGTCTGATTGTACACAGTTGTGTCCACTAGCGTCTAATTTTAGACACTAGTGTTTGATTTTAGACACTAGTTTCTGATTTTAGACACTAGTGTCCGATTTTAGGAACTAGTGTCAGATTTTAGATTCCACTTTCTGATTTAGACACTAGCGTCCCAATTTTAGTCTCCCTTGTTTTCGCTTGCGTGACGACGCCGGAAAGGGCTGCAAGGGAGACTACCCAATTTAGACACCAATGTTTAATTTTGAGTCAGATTTTAACGCGGAAAGAAAGGCTGAGTTTTTTTTTTTTTTTTAATCGGGTTCGTGGTATCAATTTTTGCGATGTATCGTGTAAAGAGGTTCTCATACTCTAGTTTAATATTAGAGCGATATTTGGCCGAAGTTGGAGGGTGCGTCTTCAGGAGGCGATAACATGTGCGAATTACATGTATGAAATATCATTTTCTCGGGCAGCGGATACAGAGAAAGTACCCGGATGATCCACAATGTGATCCTTGTGGTTCAAAACACGCCGGGAAGATCGAAGGAATCGGTTGTTGTTTAATGACAGACAGTATTTTGCTGTTTTTAAAGTATGTAGAATTTTATTTCTTATAACTCAAGTTAGGAGGTAAACATGAGATTACTTGGATTACATCGATGTCGAAAGAGATGTCTTATATAGTTAATTTCCGCCGTGTCGTTGTCAGACTAATTCGGAGTAAAGTACTTCAAACTTTCGAAGGAATTCTTAACATTTTTTCTGTCTGTGTTAGTCATTTGAAGACTCAAAGGAAAAATGCGGCGTGCTCGATCAAGGGGTATGCGTGGAGGCCCTGGTCGAATGCCACCCTTCATGCGTGGTCCTCCGGGTCAAAAATTTGTGGTCAGCCATTCCACTTTTGATCCTGTTATGGTAAGTGAGCGTAACTACAAGTTAAATACTCCACGTGCCATCAATTTAATAACTACAATAGTTTGAAAACTAACAGTTAGTGTTTATCTAGTCGAACGAGCGGTATGTAGTATGTGGATCGAGCTTTTATACAGTGGTTTATGTTAAGGTTGTCTTAGATCGATTGTTCTAGGTTTCTCTTTTACTCTTAGTATCTCATTCATAATTCTCCTCACTGTTAGCCATACAAATCTTTTAATGTTAGTTTGGAGAATTTGGTACTGGATCGACTAATAATTCCCTCATTGATATTTTTCTATATTCTCATCACTTTTCTGCTTGATATTGTCTTGATCTGATACGGAGAAATTATTTCTTGGTCACTCAAAAATTATTTCTTGGTCACTCAATAGTGCTGCGCGCCAGGTCTAAAAATAGATATGTCATCTTTGGACTCCCCGCTAGTTTAGGACAAACACTAGGAGTCTTTACAAGGACTTGTATTCGAAACGTGTCAGAAGCAAGACTTTTTTTTTTCAAAAAATGCTCTAACTTTCTAAAATGGTTGCAACTAGGCATTGCTGTTGGGTACATGTAAAAATGACTCAAGATATCCAGAAAGATTGCCAGATTCGCTTAATCCGCCTAAAGAAATGCTTAAAAACGGCCGAAAAGCCTTCATACCGTTCCCAAAGCCAAAGCATGCATGACTTGGAACTTTGTCAACACCGGGTAAATGCATGTTCTAGAAAGCATTTCTTAGTTGATAGTGTTAACTACAATACTTATATCTGTGCTGTATACTGAAATCCTTGACAAAAGCCTTTTCTGAAACCGCTTGTTTGGAAATGTTACATAGACGATGATCTTCTCGCTATGGAGTACAAACAAAGCAACAATAGAACGTTTCATTGAAAAAGCAAACAATCGTCATCCAACAATGAAATTTACGGCTGAAATTTCTAATAAGGAAACAACATTCCTGGACACCTACATCTATAATTATAAAGGCGAACGATTCGAAAAGGACGCAATCCTTGATGTGCGTACTCAATTTAAACAAACTGAGACATTTCAGTATACACACTATAGTTCCTGTCACCCACAAGGAGTTAAGAAAGGCTTAATAAAAGGAGAGGCCCTTAGACTTCTCAGAACAAACTCCTCTCAAACAATATTCAAAGAGAAAATTGCAAATTTCAAAGCGCATTTGCGAAAGAGAGGCTACCCAGAGGCCCTCATTAACACAACCCTTTCAGAGGTGAATTTCAAAAACAGGAAACTAGCTCTTCAACAGAAACCGAAGACGAACCAATGAATCTTTCCTTTTATTACCCAATACCAACCATCAGTGCCAAACCTAAAGCAAATTCTCACGAGACACTGGCATTTAATAGAAACAACCAGTACTGAGCAAACGATACAAAAATCCACCACTCGCGTCTTAAAAATGAGGGCGATCACTCAAAGACATACTCGTGAGGGCCAAACTTTGGCTATTCTAAACACGCGCTGGGGAGTCGTGTGGGCCTGTAAACCCCCTTTTACATTGAACTGTTAGATCCTTAAGTTTCACGCGATCAACTTTACTTTCCTTTAGTATCTTCGCCTGAAGCCATTTCCCATCATCTATACTTCAATCAACTACATAATGTTTTCCCGACTTGAGGCAGTCATGAACACGTGCAATGAGGTCTGCTCATTTTCCGCTCAATTTCAAGCCTCTACACTTTAACCAATGCTCCAATTGTGTGTTTGTATAGTTCTCTTGGTCTTGCTCGAACTTTGAGCCAGGAACACTGTCGTTTTGATAAAATAGCAGCTTTAGAGGCGTTTGAACTAGAGATGGGCACATCATCGCCTATATTCATTTACTCGAGAAGCCTGTTTGTTTGTCCTAATCGCTCTAGGGGGTCAAAATTTCATGACGTCACAAATGCGCAGCACCATTGGATTAAAGTTACCAAAAAAATTATGGTGGACGATTTAAACTATTTTTCTGACAACCAAGAGTCAGAATGGATAAATGGAACGAAGGAAAGCATTGAGACAACAATGGAATTTCATCGTTTATTGAAGAAAATACAGCACTAATTCTGTTCTGCTTCACATACATTTATCATGCACTCCCCATAAATAAATATCCACAAAATTCGCTCACACTTAAATAACAATTTGGCATGTGGAATAATAAATTTTCATTAAATGTTTTGTTGTGTAGTATCACTGAGTATTTTTACTCGTTATTTGTATTTTGAAAAACCCTAGGGGCTCGTCAAAATACGGCACAGTTCATAAAAATACTTAGCAATACTACACAACAAAATGTTTAATAAGATTTATATACATGTTATATGGAAATCTTGCCAGTAGCAGGTATCTCATTCCCAGTGTTTATGTGGTGACTTAATTTTGTTACTGATCTCTTTTAACATTAGAGACTAAGCTGGGATAGAATACTCCCTAGTTATTAGTGTCTGAGTTATGCTGAAGTTATTTCTACTGTTTTCATTTGTTTTCCTCTGTTTGAATGTTAAGGCTGAGACCTTTTTTCCAAGAGCTTCTCCAGCTCCAGAGGATACAGCCTTTACACAGGTGAGAGGTTTTTTAATAATATCATTGTAAATTTTATCACATCTCAAAGTACTGAAATGACTTTAAGAACTGTCAGTGTGAATTTATGAGAGTGTTAACTTCAGAAGCAATATGATATAAGCAACAACATTTGAACTTCAGTTATTTCCCTTTACATAACTTTTGTCATTTTATTAAATTATTGAAAGTAAAGGAAAATATGAAAAATAATATTTTTTTATTTCCTTGAGTATTTTTGATAGTGGATGAGCTGTTTGATTAATATTTGTCTTTTCCAACAGGCCCTTCTGAAAAGAAATCAAGAGTTAACTCCTAGTGGACAAGAACAGGTAATTAGGTTTTATTGAATTGTTATTATTGCCAACCCATTGTCAGCACTGAAAAGTGCCAGCTGTATTTTATACCGACAGTTTTGGGTCGGTGTAAAGTCGAGGCCAAGCAGCTTTATAACTTGGGTTGCCAAACAATTTAAGTACATTTTGCCATATTTTAGCAGACTGTTTTTGAATTTTTTGAGGTAAAGTTGTAAAAATTAAAACACTTACATACACCATAATGCATGCAAAGTAATTAATGGAAATCTTTCTGTGTGATATCAGCAGTGCAGTAACTGGAAAAATGAGTTACTCAATTGGTTATCTTTCTTATTATCCAGGCTTCTATTCAAAATCTTGTGACAAGGATTACAACAGTGTTAGATAATTTGATTGTTGCACCTGATGCAGCCGAGCTGGTAAGTAAAATAAACATGATTAGAGATGCTATGACTTTCATAACTTCTTCTTCTTCTATAACTGTCTATGACTTCTTGGTAGGCAAGAAAATTTAGTTTTTTTATTGTTATATCAGATAGGCCCCTTAAATGTTTTATCAGTGAATTTATCATCTTTGGATAATCTAGGAAATGCAATTTTCCAAAGGATAAGAGGATTTTTTTTTACAGTATTTTGTGGTTTATTTTGTCTTACAGGGTTTAGAGGAGGTGCGTTCAGTAGGTTCACACAAAAAGGGAACAATGTTGCTTGGTCATCCTGTGGCTGACTTAGCCGTTATTCTCAAAAAGTTGCCAGCAGGTATATGAACCAGTCTGCCGTCTTTCTAACCTTAAATTTACAAGATCTGGGTCCATTTGTTCAAAGGCCAATTAGCATTAATACACAGTTAAATTTTTTTATTTCTCTGTTCAAAAGCCTTTTTCGAAAAAGTTTCCTTATTCTTTTTAGAGTATCTGATTTTCAAATTGTAGACAAAAAATATAAAGTGGATTTTCTTTAAAAGCTTTCAGATCTGAAATTAAATTTCCCACTAACCCTGGGTTATTTTTAACCTGCTTTGAACAACCTGGTCCTGATGGTTAATTTTTCCACCTGACTGAAGGCATTTATTTCAAGAAGTCAACGTTTCATCAGGAAAACCACCTTAAGATAAGTAACTATACAAGGTTGCTTTGGTTTTACTTAACTTTTTTCGAGGAACACTCTTGAAAAACTCATCTCACCTGTCGACCAATCAGATGTAAAACCAAAGCCTATTGCATCTTGGTCACACTTGTTCTCATACAATTTAAATGTAGGCAGTGTGCCTGTCTTTTGCTTTGACATCTCCTTGGATAATAATGGTGATATCATTTGTCTGATTAGTAACTGATTTTTGTGGTTTTTGTTTCTCAGCACTCCACAGAAAACTGCTCTAATGTACACTATAAAACCTATTTATTTGCAGAGCCCTTTGGACTTATTTCTTGATTCATTTTATCCACAGAAAGTGATATTCTTGCTTTAGCTACAAGAGTACAAAAATCCCTGAAAGAGGATGGTTCATCGGCAGGTATTATTGCAAAATTAGTAGCCATTTTATGTGGTTAACCCTTGTCATATTCTTGGCTTCACAAATGTGAAGCTTTGGCCAGAGAATCTCTGCTGTTTGTCCTTCCCCTTCTTCCTCAGCTCATCTAGCAGACTCTGCTTTCCCACATCTTTTTTTTAACTATGTGTTGCCATGTGTATGACAAAATAAGTGGGGAAAATTTAGAAGGAAAAAAGGATTAGCCACCCAAGGTCTTTTAAAAGTGTCCCTGTACTGTAATTTCAATGTATGGTGGCCTTGATGCAATAGTTAATTGTGTTTTGTTTTTTCTTGTCCAGAGTATCCAATCCAGTCCAATGAAGGAGGTAAGGGTTTGTCTTATTCACCACAGTATGCATGTTATTACAGTGATGTGCAGTACCCATTGCTATAGATACTCATGGAACAAGTAAACTGTTTAGGACTTAACCCCGCCAATCACTTGCTGTTTAGCAACACTATACTTTTCACTTACAGTGGTGTAGACTTGATCTTCTTCAAGGTTCCTACAGTAGATTTTTTCTCTCAAAATTCAGGATTCAACATCAGTATTCCAGAGGGTGCTCTTGTCCGTGTGTTGATAACAACTCTCCCCAAGAATCTGCAGGATGCTGACCCAACAAAGCATGGTAAGTGATCAGTGTCAAACTTAGACTATGTGCAGTCCTTCTTTTTCGACAATGTCTGTCAGGCATATAAAAAAAAAATCAGTGAAAAAAAGTCGCTGTTAGTGTGCCACTGGAAACTCTCAGAGTGAAGCCAATGTGCTGCAGGAGCTCCATGAGTGAGATGCTGGAAAAGTAGCAATAAACATTCCTGCAGGTCAAGTCTGTCAAGCCTAGGCACATATGACCGCCTCTTGACAGATTTCCAGCCAATAGGCCAGTAGCCAATCAAATTCAAACTTTTGGGCTTAGTCTGTAATCCCTACTTTTAGAGCGCCTCACTTGTGCAACTCCCACCGCCCATCGGGGTCACTCTAAGAGTTCCCCGCAGTACACTAACGTCAATTTTTTTACTGTTTTTTTTTTTTTTTTTTTTACCTGACTGCAAAATTGCCGTCCTGTTAAGTTATAGTGCAGTTTTCCTTCTCTTTAAAATTTTTTTTTTTTTTTTTTTTGACTCACCTGACCGACTTGATCAAAAAGGAGGGACTACTCATAGTCTATGTTAAACTTATTTATACTACACACTCTTAATATTAATGTCATTAGTCCTGGACCTCGTATGTAGCCCTAGAGCAGTTGACATGAAATTGATCCATAGCTCAATAATTCCTGCAGATGCAGGCTATATCCATACACTTTCAAATTGAAAGCTGTTATCCAAGAAAGGTTGTGCATGTATTACACAGGGGCTTCAGTAATGTTTCTGCAGGAGGGCAACTGGTTTTCACAGGCGGGCAAAACTCTTTGAACTGAACTTCTTTATAAGATAAACTTTCCCCCAGACCGTCAAATCAGGTGGGCAAAACGTCCTCACAACCGGTCAATTTGCCTGGTGCCTGGCCCTTAATGAAACCCCTGATTACAGTTTGTTGAAAACATTGTGTACATACATTCACTAAATGATTTTGTTTTGACAGTGGATGTAAAACTTCTTGAGGGGGCTTTAGCAACAATAAGACATGCTCGCTGGTTTGAAGAAAATGCTTTCCACACAAGGTAAGAGAACCGGTTGATTTAAAAACATTTTCTTATCAATCTTCATGCAGCCTTAATTTTCATTTATTACTGATTGGAATGCACACACCTGTCCTTTGTGACTCACCATACATGACTGGAGAACTATTACAGATAAATGTTATTATTATGCATTAGACATACCATGAGAACTCTGATTTGTCGAGAGCATACAATCAACATACAATTGCTTGTGAAGTTGACATGATAACTAAAGATCTGCAGCAGATATTGGGGTTACCATGTTGAGTTCAAAGTCTGCCTACTTTCCATGCCCCTGGTCCATGTAGTCGGTGTGCTAAACTTTTCCAAACTCAGAAAGAAGTGTTTTCTTTGGAAATTGTAAAAGAAAAATATTAAAAAAAACAACAAGTGAATTCGGTTTTCATTCAATAATTACTTTTTACATTTTGAAACTTTCCAAGAGGTTTCTCCGACAGAGAAAACATTACAGCCCACACATAAAAACTTATAAACCACACTCGGAGCCCACGAGGGATAAGGTCTTTGACACCGACCATATTACCTATCTATGTTGTTGCAATAACGCTTAGCAAAGTGACGAAATTTTTTTTTTGCGTGAGAACAGAAAAAGGGCTAATGTAAGGTAATTTGAAAGGAAAGATCGGCGCAGTATCTGAAACGGAAACCGGGGAATTGGGCATTTATCCACCACACGTGTGCGTGAGCACTTGGTCAGTGATGGGTCCTCCCACATTTTCAGACATCTACAAAACTCCCATAAAAATGTCCAAATGTGAAAAGCTACATGTACTTGTTTGTAGCATAGACGATGCAAGGATCAGCCATATAGAGAGGAATTTTTTTTGTTCATAGATGTATGGAACATGGTAAGTTTTGAAATGACAATATTAGGGTGGTTTCTTTCAGTACTCGTCTCTTGGTGAGACTTTTCAAGGATCTCAGAAAACGATTTACAGGACTGCAAGGTCTCACACCATGGCTTATAGACTTGCTTGTAAGTTATATTTTAAAAGTGAAGTTGTGAATTAGTGATTGTTGCACATCTTTTAGCGATTCCTTAGTTTCCAATCTCCGAGCTACATTAGCGCGTTTGACTAAGTTTTTGCGTCAGACGTTTCCCCGAGTATCTTTGTCGTTGACAAGTATCCTACCTGTCAGGATTGTTCTTGCTCTCCTTTATTCGTTTGATTTTCATTTGCCTTTTTTGTTATTACTGTTGTTTGCGTCATTTCTTCATGTAATTCAGAAACCACTTGTTAAGTCTTTTATTAATCGCATTTTGAAAATCAACCGATGCGTTCGCTACAGTAGTGTATGGTGTTATGACTATAAAAGTAGTGATAAAAAATAGTGCCCTCTCAAGAGAGAGCAGAGATGTAACAGGCTTACAGCACTTTATAAACAACAAAAATGTTTAGCAGTGTCTGTTTTCATCTCAGGCCCATCGTGCAGCTATGATGAATTCATCACGACAACCTCTTCCAGTCAACGTTGCTTTCAGGTGAGACATTGGATTCTCGCAATCCTGCTATTCTCAAGGATAAATAAAATACAGGCTGATCGTTTCTAAAGAAACTGTTTGGGGCTGCGTCGGTGGGGGTAACGAAATAATTTGGATATATCAATAAAGTTGAAATGGTAAATTGGCCACCGTAACGATTACAAAAGCTGACGTTTCGAGCGTTAGCCCTTCGTCGGAGCGAATAGAGGAATTGTGGGTTGTGTGTGCTTTTAAAGGCAGAAAATGGAGTTACGTTATTGGTGGGAACATGGCAACGAGAAAAACACGAATAAATTAGTGGAATGAAAAGCGTTCGTTGATCCCTGTTGGATTTAGACTGTCGGTTTGGAAGATGAGCTTTTGTTCAAGAGTTTTACGGCTTTCCGTGCTACCTAAGTGTAAGGAAAGACCACATATTGCCATATGTTGCTTAGAATGATTAGGTAAATTAAAGTGTCTAGCGACTGGTTTCGATTTGTTTTTGTCATTCTTTTCCACGTCGCGAAGGTGTTCTCGGAATCGGTCACCTAGTCTTCTGCCTGTTTCGCCGATGTGTATCTTTTAGCAATAAGTGCAAGTTATGCAATAGATTACGGTGGCCAATTTACCATTTCAACTTTGTTGATATATCCAAATTAAGTAAAATACAACTCACAAACTATCCACAGTAACTACGAAGTTGTATGAATTTCAAAAAGATAGAAATTCGTCAGTTTTAACCACGTGCATCTTTGGTGGCTTGTTCAGTATTCCAAAAAATGTAGAGTATGGGACGTTTCATTCATACTTGCAAGTTATATATCTATAGGGAATAGGCATCCATGCAGGAGAGCTCAACTAGAAACTTTGAAAGTAATTTATTTCATTTCAGGCGAGCTTTCCAGCTGCTCTCAGCAGGATTGTTTTTGCCTGGTTCATTGGGAATAATTGATCCTTGTGAGGTGATGGTGATAGTTTATATTTTTATTGACTTATTATTATTTTTTTTTTATATGGTTAGTGATATAGACTACTGTATTTACTTTTTTTTATGCTTTTTTTTTTTCTGTGCAGTTATTTTTCAGTTTTAAATGTGAGCTTACGAAACCAGATCATGATTAAAATACATACATCCAGAGAAATTCATGTATTTGTTTCATAAACCTCTGCATCGGGAGGTTGGACAACAAATCCTTGTAAATTGTCTTCACCTTCACTTCACTTTGGTTGGGTGCTTTGGTGATTGTCGAAAATGTGCTTGTTTGTGTTGCGACTGTACATTGTTGATTACACTGTATTTTCTTCATTTAGTCGGGAAATGTACGAGCACACAGCGTTCTTAGTTTAGAGGAACAGGTATGAGTGATGTTCCGTATCTTTCCTAAATACTGTTTACTGATGTGGCTTACGTTATATTTCCTACGAAATGACATACTGCACGTATTAACTGTTGTCTTTTTTCGTCATTCATCATTTTACATACAGGACGCTATAACAACTTGTGCACAAACCCTTTTGCGATGCTTAAACCATGGGGCTTACAACGAAATATTAGGATTGGTAAGACAACACGATTGTAGTAGAGTTGCGCTTCTATATTTACTACTGTTTCATGCATTACTGTTAATTAAAAAAAGGAGGTTGTAACAGTTATCATAATTGACTGCAAATTTATAGTAGTTTTCGGACGTACATGTGAATCTCTTCTCAACGGCCTTCTTTGGGAGAGAGGAAAGTGGCCGTTGGAGAGAGGTGGCCGTTCCAGATAGGTAACGGGTAGATAGTGCAGCCGATGATTTACTTATTGACCCAGCGGAAGAGCTGTACGGAAAAGAGTATGGTCCCAGGTCTTACACGAGGTCTTGTACGTCATGAACGAAAGTCAAACAGTTTCTCTCCAGGCTCGATCACCGCTTTTGTTTCTCTTTCTCCAAACAGCTCACGTCTCGCACGGCTTTATCCTTCTCTGCAGGCGGGATCATGGATTATTTTAGATATGTTTCAATATAAGCGTGCACAGGGGCCGTATGGGTCACATTGAAAGCTAAGTAACAATCAAAAAGCAGTCATTAATGAAAGAGAAACCGAAAATTGAAGTTTAGAAAAAAATGACTGTAACGACATGCTGGGCAGTGTAGAAAATTGAAAATAAAAGTGGATTTTTTAACCCTTCACCGGCACGATAAAAGGGCCTTTCGTACAGAGGTAGCCATTAGTGGGGGTTTCTCTTAACCTACACGCTTGTCTCTTTGCTTTAGCTGTAGTTCAATGCGTGATGTATTGACTCATCAGTTGATATCTGTTACTCTTGTTTTCCTTAGAGTCAAGAAGGAATTCCTCAAGTTGGTAAGTATTTGATCGTTGCCAAGACATTAAAAAAAATTCGAATTTTACCAAGAAGACTTTTGAATGAAGAAAGTGACAAGAACGATGATGTAGAACTTAAAGGAGGTCGTGCATGTGCTGCTACATTTTTTGACGTAATATCCGCCATTCCTGTCGCGCGCAGGAATGTAGCACGAACATTGAAGTACTGTGATAAAATCGCGGAGAGACATTTTAGAGAAAGGGGCGGGGTGGGGTGGGATAGTTACCTTGACCTGGTTCGATTGTAACACCTACACTTCAAGACACAATTGGTGGGACACTTACTGCCTTCCCGGTCGTTCTCAATTTTGTTTTCTGAAATACCCTGTGGAAACTGGCAAGTGACAACGTTGAAGAGGGGTGGGGGCAAGAAAACAGCGCAAGTGGTGTCTCAACTCATGATGTCTAAGAATGTAGCTACCTTCTGAACTGTTTTCCAGAGGACAGTTCTATTCTTGGTTCGGTTCTCATTCTTTTCCTTTGTCTCAACACAGCTCTGGAGACTGAGGTGTCCAGCTGGGGAGGAGTGATCGTCACACCAGGACCGAAGGCGTACGAAAAACAACAAGACCAAGAGGAAGAAGAAGGAGAGAATGAGGGAGAGGAGGACGACGAGGATTCATCCGAGTTGTCAGGTCAGGAACAGGCCGAGGAAAAGATGGAAACAAACCAAGAGAGCTGAACATGAAGTACTGGTTAGTATTTGCAGCAGAGCTTCGCCTGTTACTCGTTAAAAGCAGGGTGCTCACTGGTTATTGATACCTGTTAGAGACGACTACTCGAAGTGCTCCTCGGTTGTAAAGCAAGTAGTTTACAAACATTTTAGCCAAAAAACTGGAATGAAGAAGAAGAAAAAATGATGTAGCTTTTTCTTTCCAAACAATCTTCACTGTAGTGAGTCACTGGAGGTAATTTCTGGAAGACCACGAGTTGGAAGTAAATTTAACAGCCGAATCGTACTTATTCACCGTTATGTTTTCAGACTTCATTTTGTATTTTTCTTCTCTTTCAATTTTATTTCAAGCGGCACAACGCATAATCTTAATAATGTTGTTGTCTTGCTTTCGAAGAGACTTCAAATATTAAAACACATACTCCAATCAGCGCCTCACACTAGACTGCTACCTGTCTCTTCTATTTTCAGACTCTCCTTTTCACGGGCTCATCGGACCACTTGGTGTTTCGCAGATTTAGAGTTCTTTTGTAAATTATTGTGTTTATTTTAGGATGTATAACAACAACAACAACACGAGTTTAGCATTAAAATTGTATACTTCGTTCTTTACATGTGTTTCCTGGGCTCCTTCTTTAGTTGATTTATTTTCTGTGTCGGGTAATAAACCACAAAAAAGGAACGTGAAATGAAACAAAACTATAGCAATTTGGGATGGCTATTGAGACTCAACTCAGCACTTTCCATGGCAATTCTCTGTAATTGGGAGCCTGAGAAAAGCTATAAATGTCTTATGGTGGAGGTTACTGTCGCAAAGAAACAACTTAATAGCAACAACCCAATTCTTCGGTTCACTATTTTTTCTCCTCTACACGATTTGAACTTTTTGTACAAGTTGACACAAATCAAGAGTTGAATCCCAAGAATGACTTTGACTCTTGGCAAATTTCTGTAACTTCATGACTGAGTTGTCAAAAAGATTCTTGAGTGCGTCAAGTGATTTCTTCTCTTCACAGTTTGCTTGGTATCTGAGCTGTGGAAGAGCGATCACGATTTCGTTTACTTCCCCCTCAATTCCGATGGTATAAAGCTCGGGGAAAACAGCCCGAAGATCGCTGACAACCTGCTCTCTCAGGGAGGTGTTGCGGCAAACCAAGTTCAGAACGAACACTCCTGAAAAGAGAAGAAAATCTTAGAAGGCAGGTTGACCCTTGCCTAGACCTCGTTAGAATAAAACTGTCTTTCTCTTTAAACTATGTGAAAGTGTGGTCCTAAGTAGGGCTGTTGTCGGTAGTAGTGACTGACAACCTAAGCGGCAGTCAACAATCACATTGCTGAGCATCATTGACTTACAAATCACACCATTGACAGGGACTCTGTACAAAGCCTCATCAACAGCACTAACTTCGACTCTGACTGACTTAACTACTGACTCTGGAAAGCTGGTTTGCTGAGTTAGAACAGACTTCCCTCACCATGTGGGCACCATACAGACGACTTATTCACGATATTAACATCACAAACGAACCGAAGAGAACGATCTTACTTTGCCTACGGGTCGAAACTGACTGATCACGACCGACTTAGGCCCCTCGACTCTCATAGTTAATAGCATCACGGCTAAACTGACCAATTAGTTTATACAAACCAGACTTAGTACATTCGACTGAAAACAACGATTCACTTGACTCTGATGATGACTTTGGCTCAGGTTGTCGTAACGTCAGTCACTACTACCGACAACAGTCCTCAAGCCGACTCTCACGCGGACGATCAGACTACATTATCACATGTTACCCCCGGGTTCAAAATCACTTACGGCCTTTAAACTAAGTCGTAAGCATTTTAGCTTATGCGTGTAATCTAGAGCAGTTGAAAAATGAATTGAAAAAGGAAATGTGTTTAAGTAAGAACAGTCACAGTAGCAAAAAAGTGTTCCCAAAAAAAGGTTTAGTTGGCATCACATCAGAAGACGATGAAGTTAGATCCAGCGCCGACCGCAGCGTAATTAAAAAACAAGCGCTGGCCCACTTGGAATTAGAAGTGAGATTCGCATGCTGGAGGTTTTAGATTGTCTAGCACCCAGTTGCAGAAACGAGCCTGGAAAACTTAGCAAGACAAGTAAAATTAGAAGCACAGAACCATGGTTTTATGTTTTGCTTGAACTTTAAGATGCAGTTGTTCCCTGTGAATCTGTCCAGAAAAGATCTCTAAGAATGCCTATGTTTACTTAGTCAACTCACTGTCCAAACACCGGCGACTAACCTGAAGGGGATAGGAGGGAGTGAACCTGTCTGAGAAACGCTCTATCCACGAAGGCTTGTGGCGGACAACTCATGCCTACACTCGTGTCCTTAGAATCCACGTCAAAGATAATCACATCATAGCGTGGAGCGCTCTCTGAAAAACAAGAGCATAAAAAAAAATCACAGAGAAACTTCACGATTTCCTGAAGACACAAAGTTGGGTGGGGGGAGGGAGAGGGGAAAATTAGTAACTGTAGTGGTATTGTACAACGGTAATAAAGTAACATCGTTCGTCTCACGATGGAGCCACTTGCTATCACAATGTTTCAATGGCGTATCGGTTGTTTACTTAAGGCAAGACCTCTGAGGGGACTCACATCATCGAAATCATAGCGATTGAAACCCAATCACTCACCACGATAGCGAACGAAATTCCGCGATCCAAATCGGGGCGTTCAGTTAGCAAGACGGAGTAAACACCGCGACATTCGTGGAGAGGTGAAAAGGCGAGGGAGGTTTGGGACGGGTCGCGCAACGACTCGTCCCAAACTTCCCTTCTTTCGAAAACGCTAGCGTTTTGGGTACAGGGATACCGAAAACGCTAGCGTTTTGGGTACAGGGATACCCAAAACGCGGGGGTACCTAAAACGCTGTGACAGCGCAGCCATGATCGTGTTCGGTTCTTCTAACTGAACGCCTGGATGGACTACTTCAAAGGTCACTTCGTCAGGAGACAAACGATAATACTTCGTTAATAATATATCGTCACCGATGGCATAGAAATCCCATGGCCCTCTTTCGGGCAAGGAAGAGTGTTAAAGAGTTTAAGAAAGAGTAAGCAAACCTTTGGATCGAATATATTTCAATCCGTCTTCAATAATGACTTGCATTCTATCATCTTCTTTGAACTCAAACCAGCTCTTCGCAATTTCAGAAATGGATGGATCTAGTTCAACAACTTCTATGGAAAGCTATGAACAAAAAAATGTACCAGCCAAGGGCGATATCAATGAAATAAGATTTCAGAAACTGAATTTGTATCAAACACGGTAGGGGGTGACCTCATGAAGTGAAAATTCGACGATTCAAAGAATTCATCAACAGTTAACAGAAGTCAACAGCAATGATTAGCGGAAGCCATAGAGCGAAAATTCTACTGTTGTTAGGGGAGGAAGCACAACCCACTTGCTAGCGCTAAAAGGCTCAAACCACTGCAAGTCAGATGACGTCGTCAAAGGCAGGATGGTACGCCGAACACATGTCAATTTTGACAAATTTCTATTTTTTTTTCTTTTTTTGACTGGGCAGACGCAAAGTGCGAGAAAAGCATGGGCACGCGCGAGAAACAGAACGCTAAAAAATGTATGACGAACTCAATACATTAAATTTTGTTTTGTGCTATTTTTCAGTTTGTTTTCTGCATTCTTCCTCTCGCACGTGATTCTCTCTTCGCGCTCACCTCTATTCGACTGAAGAGAGTAGAAAAGTACGAGGAAATAAATAACATCTACATGTCAGCAGTAATATTCCAGACATTATTTTTTTCATACTTTTCCTTTAACTCACCTGCTTGAAGTACTGATACAGAAACATGGCCAGTCCACCGCCACCCAGGCCAACTATCAAACTCTTCTTATTTTCACCTAAAATTGTTTACATACACATTTAATATACAGACGACGGTACTTCAGACTATCACTTGAAGAAAGTCAATTAGTATAGGAAATAACATGACTTCGAGTGCAATTTGGTGTTAATAAGCACAAGCAAAATTTTCCAAAGACAACAAAATTGCATGAGCCCGTAGGGCGAGTGCAATTTGTAGTCTTTGAAAAATTTTCAAGCGCTTATTACACGAAATTGCACCAGAAATCATGTTGTTACTTTAATTAACTTACATGAAAAAAGCATCACAGAAAGTCAAGGCACAAGAAGTACAGCGCGCGCGCTATTTGTAATTTGCACTCGTGTTAAATCTTTGCAATTGTGTTACATGAAAATTCACTCGTTTTCAGCCTATCAGACGTAAGTAACTATTTATAAGTATATTGTTATATAAAAATATTTGGATTGAGAGGACCACGCGACGATAAACTGAATTGCTAAGCTTGTCGGATGCCACATCTCTGGTTCCAGAAACACATGAGCTTGACGTCACTGTGGCCGCACATAAAACCGTACTCATTGAGAGATAACTTTACGTCAACGATGCAAACTTCTGCGTCATACAAGATCAGTGATGGCTAAAACTGCGAATTAAGCGGTTTGCTTTCCTTGCTGTTTGTTTCACGGAATCTGTGTTGAGGTAATTCCCTTGAAATTGTTCTACTATCAAAATTTTTTTCGAAACTTGGTATAATTTACATTCATGATATAAACGTTTTTCCTGATGGTGATTCCCTTGTTTTGCACTGCGCAACCTGTTCTGCGCATAACATAATGAACGATCCTCAGCACAAATTAAGCAAACTTTTACCACCCCGCTATGTAAGCTCTCATAGGTTAAGGCACGAGCGTACCTTTGCTTTGCCACTTTGCAAGACAAATAGACTTAAAAACAGTTTTTTAATTGCTTCGGCCAGAATAGTCAACAGCCACAAATAATGTACAAGTTCCCCCTTACGACCAACTACGTATTTTATAATAATAAGATGAATACATGTACATAGTAATTCTTATTTTATATCTGTGAATACGCAATTAAGTTCATGCTGCGAAGTATTTACCAATAAAGTATCTATCTATCCATCTAAACATAAAAAAATGCAATAAAAAAATGGGGTCACCGCGCTTGTTTACGCGTCAGCTGGTATTTTTACTGGTTGCGAGTTAAAAATTCGAATCACCTTGATACAGAATTTAGCCTTGGTAACTTGAAAGAAAAAATATTATTTTGAAATTAAAGCTTGTTTTATTAAAATAAGCAGTATTGCTTAATTTTAGCTGTTTTTGATTGCCTGGTTGTGGGGATTTTGCACTTTTTCGAACAATTCCATGGTTAGCTTAAAGTCCTCGCCTTGGCCAAAATACACCGAGTACGGAACTATTTTCCCCAAAAAAAATCATGTTCTACCATCAAACTTGTTTTCTTCTTCAAATGTGTTCTTTATTAGACTGTTCTCAGCAAATACCTGAAAAAAAGATCGGGTGTCACCTTCCTTGTTTCCTCACAAACTGCCGTGAAAGGTGGACATGGTTTTGAGATCGCAGTCAGGATGGGGAATTTGCGCGGTGGGGACTGGGACTTGTTTGTCGAGAGCAGACCAGGAAGCTGTCAGCCGATTTGCGGTATTCTTATTACGAATAAAAGCTTTTGTTCTACAAAAGCGGCCCTTGACTGTTCTTTTTAAGCTAGCATGAAGAACGGCCGCCATCTTGGATGTCGCAATGTTATGCGCAGAAAAGGTTGCGCAGTGCAAAACAAGGGAATCACCTTCAGGAAAAACGTTTGAAAGGAGATCTGTTCAAGCAGTTCAAAGCCGGTCACAAAATAGTTTACAGTTTGCGGGAATTCTCTTTTGTGGATAGTTCAACCCGTAAAGAATTTCATTCTTTACGCTGGATCATAGTAGCTTACCTGTGGTACAAAATCCCTCGATCCAGGCCAGGCCGGTGACAATCACTCTGTGATGCTGACAAGCTAGATACCCATGATCCACTCGGGGACTACTGTTGTTAACGACCTTTGCGCTCTGTTTTCCTTTACCCTTTTTCACATTTGTTTTGTCTGTAGAAACAGAACATTTTTCATAATTACTATATTAGTGAATTATTAATAACATAAATGTGTAGACTGAAATACTACGTCTGTTCTGTTTGGTTGGAAACTTGCCATTCATCATTACGGATAGACCGAATAGAACGGTCTATGTAAGTTTATGTACACTAACACAAAATGAACTGCTATTTGACATAACAGCCAACTCGGTAAATTAGGAAAACCAACACAAAAAGTTTTAATAAGGTACACTAAAGTGTTCTTCTAAAAGTCCGCACAGCCCAGTAAAGGACAGTAGACTGGGCAGGAGTTGTTCTCCATAGTTTAAATTACAAAGAGCCAATCGAGTGTCAAAAGTAATCCAAAATTGCTTTGGTTTCACTTAACTTTACTTCGCTTTTTAGTGGTCAAGAAAACTCGCACCAGACTCTCAACCAATTAGATGCAATCCCGACATAAGTCAGTCGCGTTTTTGCGCGATTCAAGGTTTAAGTTCTAATTAGCCAAAGATAATGTATAATGTATATATCATATTAGACGTTTTGTTGTGTAGTATCGCTGAGTATTTTTACGAGTTGTTTGTATTTTGACGAGCGAGTCAAAATACAGCATTT